GGACAGAAGCCCTGGTATGAGGCATTCAGGGGAACTCGGGTCTGTAAAACAGACAATAGGCTTGAGCAGCGGGACAATGGCGCCCCAGACAGTAGCCCCTGGCCACTCCGCCCGGCTTCCACCCCAGGAACTGCTTCCAGAGGCAGTTACGCCCTACTTTTATTTTGGCCCGCCTTTGTCCTGGACGTTAATCAATAGGAGACTGCCTTAGGGAGGGGGGACACATTATTTCCGCTGTAGCCCCCCACTGCTCGGCAGGGACTGCGAGTCCTCTTTCCCTCGCCCCGCACCGCTTCCAACCTGGCCCCGCCAGGCGCCCGGCGGGGACGCGTCTCCCCGCGGCTCTGCACGGTGCCGCCGGCACTTGCGGACACGGCGCGCCCCCACGGCACTCGGGTTTTTGGTTTTTGCTGTTAGCGTAATACCGAATGAACCTTTGATACAGCAAATGGGCTCTCAGATAAGAATTTGTGGATTTGCCTCCTTTGACAAATTTATGACAGAATTGGTTTTCCCAGAGCTCTTAATTGTGAGTTTGTGCTCCTTGCCGTTCCTCTTCCTTGCCGGGTTTAGGGTCAAGGAAAGGAATCCCAAACAAAAGCAAATGGTGGCAAAGCTTGCTGATGCCCACTTCTCTTCCTCCCTGTGCTGACCGCTGCCCGCTCCCCATCACTCTCGCTGGTTCCCCATTTTTGTTTGTCTTTGTGTAAAGAGGGCTGGTGCCCACTGGTCTCCAGCCCAGCACTCACTTCTACTCCCTCCCCTTGGGGGACACTGGCCCACCTCCCCTTTTCCTTGTTGAACATTGTATAAACAGCCCAGTAACCTGCCAAGGGGCAGGCCGGTGGGCTTTCCGACCTGAGTCTGCTGCCCTCCGCATTTGACACATAAAGCCACTTTCCTTTCCCTCAAACTCTGTTTCCTTTTATTGGCTGAGGGAAACTGAGACCGGCGTTCGGTAACACCTTCACTATTACGTTTTCTGCAGAGTGAACATCCGTGTGCAGGAGCTGCCGGCCACTGGCTAAGCCGTGTTTGCACAAACGCCCAGTAAACAGTGTCTGCGTGGGGGAGACCCGGGCGGGACAGGTGAGGCGCCTGCGTGGGGAAGGGGTCTCCCTGTTCTGGAAGCAGCTCCCCACGGAGGGCAAGGGGTGGGTGTTCCAAAGCCAGCGGCCTGAACGCCCCACGTTCCTGATCTCTGGGCGCCCCCTCAGCGCTGCTTTAGTACCCCGACCTCTGGCTCCGATCCGCGTCCAATCGGAGCTACGTCTAGCCTAGCTAGGGACGGCAGGGCTAAGGATCCCGACGGTCGAGGGCCCCCCGGGTTTGGGGGCACCCGGAACAGATAATATTTTCAGGGTGCGTGGCCATCGCGGGGTGTGGGGGCTGGCCTCGCCCCACAGCGGAGGAGCCGTCCCCTCGGCCGGGCGCGTCCGGTGGGCGTGGCGCGAGCAACTCCCAAAGATGTGGACACTCTGGCTCCCAGCCGGACGGACACCAGCCCGACGGGCGAATCCATCTCGCAGGCTCTACCCCCTCTCGTCGACGGAGTTTCCGCCTTTCTCGACTCGCGGGTGTCTCCCCACGGCGAGCAAACGCAGAGATCCACTACACGCATGCGCGAGCCGCTGGCAGAATTTGTACGCATGCGTAGAATCAACGGCATAAAGAGTGATTAGGAACAGATTCTCGCGGTACCTGTGCGGGCGGCGCCGTGGCTTAGTTGGTTAAAGCGCCTGTCTAGTAAACAGGAGATCCTGGGTTCGAATCCCAGCGGTGCCTCAACCGAGCGTCCTGGCTCTTTTGCCCAAGGTCTATTTTGCCCTGTGCCGGGCCTCCCGTCTGCCCCCAACTTGATCACTTGATTCCTCCGCTCTTAAGGGCTGTGAGGCTGATCCCTCAAGGCCAGTTTAGCTGAATGTCCTGCCTGTGGAGGGCGTCGTGCTGGCCTTCCTCCATGTCCACGCCTGGCACCTGCTCCAGCTGGGGGAACTCTCCGCGCCGGGCGGGAGCAGACCAGACACCCCAAGGGCTGCGCGAGTCTGGCCTGTGCGCGAGGGGCGTGGGGGGGCGGGGTGGGGGGGTGGGGGGGGCAATCCGCCTGTCCGGCGAGGAGCAAAGCGTCCCCGCGGCTCTGCTGGGGAGCGCGAGCCCCGGCTGTCCCCTGTCGATCTTCCCGGGGGGGGCACTCTGGCTGGAACTGACCACCTTTATTCTCTCCAACTTTGCGATCGCTGCGCCCATTTCGAGGACGCTTCGCTCCTCTCACGGCTTGGGCTTGGCTTGGCCGAGTGAGCAGCGGGCCCAGGCGGAGGACTGGCCCCTCGAGTCGCCCTGGGCGCGCGAGTCGCCCTGGCCTGCCGCCAGTGTGAAAATTCCAGGGAGATCGTAAATGGGGCTCTCGGTGCTGGAGCGCCTGCCGTAAGGCCTCCGTGGGGAATACACGGTGTGGGCAACTGCACCCAGTCTTGGGTGGGGGGGGGGTGATGGGGTGTCTCTGAGTCTTTGGAATAAAATTTAAAAAGTTACCCAGGTATTAACATGTCGAACTCAGAATTCATGACAGTGCCATAGGACAGTTCCCACGCCCTGCAGCTCCCCTCTGCTTTTCCAGGATCTGGGTTTGACATTGAAATCGAAAACCTGTCTGGCTACTTTGACTCTTGGCCAAAGAGGCCCAATTCCTTTGGGGGTGGGGGTGGGAGTGACTTCATAGGTCAGGGGACTTGAGACGTGTGGGTCTGACTTACTTCTGGCGTTTCTTTCCTCCTAGCCTGCATATTTGTCTGTTATTTGCCTAAAGGAGATGTGGGCTGGGGGACATGGCTGTCAGCCCCTCAGGCAGCAGATAAGTGAGGCCCCTGGCCTGGGTGAGCTTCCTGGGCAGTGAGCAAGACCAGAAAGGAGAAGTAGGCCCCGGGCAGGCGAGTCCACCCTTCCTTCTGTTCTATTCCTGCCTCAGGCCCTTTGCCGAGGCGCCAGTGGGTCTCGCTCACCTCCTGTTCAGTGTCACCACCTCCCCCAGGCGGCCCTCACCACCCTCTGTTCTCCAGTGCCTGCCTCCCCAGCTCCCAGGAAGCACCCCTCATTTCCTTTACAGCTATCTCAAAGTCTGAAATCATTCTTTTTTGCTCATCGCCTTTTCCCTCAAATGAAATCAAGACCCAAGGAGCCTCAAATGTCTGTTTAATTCTGTGTCTCCAGCACCTCATGATGACTGAAACATAAAAGGCATTTGCGGATATGTGACTTTCAGAACTGATCCTACTGTCTTGCCTTCTGCAATTTGATATTCTTGGAAAGCTAGTTGATCGTTTCAAAGGCAGCAGGTCTTAGAATGTAGTTCACGGATCTCTGGGGATTCCTAAGACTCTTTCAAGAGGTCAGACTTGATTTCATTTTTTTTAAAGATTTATTTATTTATGCATACAGAACTGGGGTACAGGCCAGAGGTGCAGGGGGTGAGAGGCTTCACCAGCGACAGAGTGGGGAGCAGAACAGGCCCACTGACGAGCAGCGGGCGGGTCAGGAGAGACCTGCCACACACCCTGTGGGTCACTCCCTGGCTGGAGTCAAACTCCTGCTGCAGTGGCCGTGGGCTGCTCATGGTGCTTTAACCCACTGCGCCACCAGGGAGGGCCCTGATACAATAACTTTAGAACATCTTCATCACTGTGTTAGTGTTCTCCAGAGAATCGACATGTAACGCTATGTACATAAGATTTAGTCTAAGGAACTGGCTCACACCGTCAGCAAGGCTGACAGCTTCTATGAATGCAGCTGGCAAGCCACACCCCAGAAGGCCCAAGGTGGAGTTCCAGTCTGAGTCCAAGGGCCTCAGTGCTGAGACCTAGATCCAGGAGAGGTGATGACTTAAGTGATAGTTTAAGAGCATCAGGCAAAAGACCCAAGGAGAACTGTTAGGCCACCAGCGACAGGACCTTCAGGAGAGCCCAGCGCTGGAGTTCTGAAACGTTCATACATCATTCATGTAAATCGATGGGGAAATACTGGCAAAGAGGGTGTCCTCAAGATATCTGGTGGGCCCTCCCTGGTGGTGCAGCGGGTTAAAGCACAGCACCAAGAAGCTAAAGCCACTTCAGTGATGGTTCAATCCCCACCCTGGAGGTGACCACATGGCGCGGCAGACCTCTCTCCTGACCCGCCCGCTGCTCCCCTCAGCAGTGTGCTTCGTCCATCTGCCTGTTCTGCTCCCCACTATCTTTGGTGAAGCCTCTCGCCGCCCCTGAGCCTCTGGCCTGTACTCCAGTTCTGTGTGCACAAATAAATAAATCTTTTAAAAAAAAAATATCTGGTGGAAGTCCTGTGAGCCAAATATAATGGGAAAGGGAGCCCTTCAATTTTGTTCATGGAAGCCTCCACTCTTTCTGGCAGAATTGGCTCACATGGTACGACATGTTCTAGAAGCAGAAGAAGGCTGTACACATGCACAGACCTTCTCGAGATGGAAAAGTCTAGGTGCAGAGCATGAAGCATTCTGTGAGGGAAATGCCAGCACCACCCTGCTCTGGGCAGACGGGTGCACTAGTGACCCTGCTCTGGGGTCACTAGCTGGGGAGGTGCCCATAGCCCTCGCCCCACTGAAGTCTCCTTCACCCAGGGGAACCTACAACCTCCCTACAGGCCTTACAGGTCAGCTCCGTAGTCCAGGATGCCTTCAAAAGAGAGAAAGGGGACCCCAACATGTGAAGCTTAGAAGCAGGGGAGATGCTTCTAGAATTCATGGACACATTTGTTTTCCAAAGGAATCTAGATTTATTCTGCACGAAAGCCAAAAACAAAGTGTCTGGTCCCCATGGATTATCAGCACTGAGGGCTGCAGCTGGGGAGGGGGGGAGTTCGGCCAGGCTCAGCCCTGGCCCCCGACTGTCAGGCCCCGCTGGCCAGGGAGGGTCCCCAAAGGTCCTGCGAGACCCGAGACCCAACACATTGTGACCAGTGGCCAGTGCCTGAGCCACGCAGGGCCCCGGTGGCCATCAGTCATCGCTGCTGGACTGCTCCCCGCTGGGGCAGTCCTTCCCCTCGGGCGGCTGCACTCCTGCTGCCCTGTTCTTTGTGTCCATCCGGCAGAACACACATATGGAGGCGCCTTCGGGTAAGGTGTCAGTTTCGTAGACAGAGAAAGGCCTGTTACAGCTTTTGCACTGGAGTGCAAAGGTTTAAGATCAGAAAGGAGACGCATCAGAGAGGCCCAGGCATGCGGCTGGAATCCCCTCTCCCGATCCACCCTGGCCCGGGCCAACGTGCCAGTGGCCTCTCCCAGGGGTGTCGAACTCCGCAAGGTGCCAACTGCCAGGCTGCTAACAAAGACCAGCACGGGATTCCCTCCCAGCCCTATCTAGGCTGCCAGCTCAGTGCGGGACGCAGGCGTGGTCAGCCCCTCAGCGGCGGAAAGGACAGGCAGGGTATCTGTGCAGGCACCACCCCAGCATGCTGGGGTCCCTAACTTTTACAGTTATCCCTGAGGTGCAATAAGACAAGATTTCTGGACAAAGCAGATGCTTACTCTAGATAGTGGTACTGAGCAGCCTCCTCCACCTCTGAGCCTTTCAAAGCACACAAAGAACATGGATGCTGCATCCTAGCTTTCTTACCACCCCTGCTGCCCACAAGCAAACGAGCAGCACCACAGAGTGGGTCTTTCTGGGGTTCCCACCACAGCATGGCCCCCCCAGGATGAACCTGCAAAGGGCGTGCCCGGCGCTGGCGCTGGCTGCCTGTGCTTCGCGCCCTCACCCACTAGGGGGCAGCAGAGCCCGCCGGCGAGGCTGGCAAACCCCGCCCAGGCAGCATCCCGGGAAATTCCAATCCTGAGGTTTCCTTGGTGGAAGGCAGAGGATTCCTCTTCGCTACAGCTGCAGGTAGGCTTCTTTCTTTTGCATGAAATGGTATTCTTTACCTGCCTTATTATATACTGCTACTTTACAGCAATATATACTGTGTATCAGGTGTGACAGTTGTAACAACAGCCCAGAACAGGGCGGAGAGGAAGCAGCTTCCAGGGCAGGTGGAGGGTGAGGTAGGCACCTGCAGCCGGTCAGCTTCCAGGCCAGGCCCCAGGGCCAGCGTGGCCACGGAGACCCCTTTGCTCCTGCCCACAGGCTGTTTCTGGGGCCATTCCCAGAGGCAGTGGCTCACAGCCAGACCTTGGAGGCAAGCCTTGGGGCGCCAGGATGAAAGAGGCCCAGCTGAGACTCTTTGGCCTCGTAAGTGGCTCCAGGCCAGGCCAGGCCTCACCTGGGGACCCAGCACTGTGCTCACTCTGCTACCAGCTTTTCCTCTAAGGAAACCCAAACGTGGGCCTCTTTCACCACACACACAGGGGCTAGGACCTGGCCAGGGTCTTCAGCCAGAGCCCCGGGCACCTGGGCCTCACCCCCCTCCTCAGACCCACTGGGCTTGCTCCCGCCTCAGGGCCTCCACCCTGGCTGTTCCCCGCCAGGCTTCGTGGCTCACCCCTCACCTCCTTAAGGCTCTGAACAAATGTCACCATGACGCTGCCCTTTAACATGTCGCCACCGTCAGCCCCCTCCTCCTCTCCTATAGATTCTCCTCCAAATTCCTAATCACCATGTGACTTAACACAGACTTTCCTAGTTTTACTAAGCGCCCTCAGGGCAAGAATTCCGATCTGTTTACTCATGGGCTTATCCTCAGTTATCCAGTAAAGTCTGTTTGCAGTTCAGTAAGTTAATTCACAGAGGGAATAAGTCATCAAGCTTGACTTTACCCAATACCAACCTTTAAGCCCAGGGCCTTTTTGTACTTGATTACCAAAGGAATTTCATCGATTTCTTCAATATTCCATACTCTCAGTGTACTGTCCTAGAAGAAATTAAACAGAAAAGCAGAAGTCAAAGCGCTGGGTCCATTAGCCTAGGACGCTCAAGGAGGAACGTTCAGGTGATGTGTAGAGACCTAGGCCTGAAGCCGGGCAGCGTTAGGGTGAATAGCTCCCCAGATTCTCCAGCACCTCCCCAGCTTTAGCCATGAAAGCCCCATGCCCCACGGCTGTCACAACAAACTCGCCTCAGGGTGTGACATGTCCAGTTGTTCTGTAGTGGGTGTGAACGTCTGGGGGAGATATGAAGCTCATGTAGCAGCCCCCCAAAGAGGAGCTGAAAACAAAGCTATATTTAAAGAGAAAGGGATGTGCACTGTTGATTCACCTTCCAAGGCTGCTGTCACTGGTCACCATGACTGATTTTTCAGTGCGCATTAGCCACTGTTGTGAATCACTAGTGAGGCCTGTTCAGAGGCAATTTGGCTGCATTTAATCACGAGTGTTACCAGTCTGCCTCTGTTTGTACCTGTGGGTTGACTGTTGTGCTTTATGTTAAGAAGTGTTAGGACTTTATTCACAATTTAATATTGCAAATATTGTGAACACGTTTTCTAAGAGTTCATCAGGGAAATGCCCATCAAAACCATGACGAGGGCATCCCTGGTGGCCCAGAAGTTAAGTCTCAGCAGTATCACTACAGCTGCCTCAGCTCGACTCCCGGCCAAGGAGCTGACCCACATGGCGGACAGACCTCTCCTGTCTCCCTGCTGCTCCCCTCAGCAGTGGGTTTCAGTCCATCTGCTGTTCTGCTCCCCACTCTGTCTCTGGGGACTCCCCTCACCCCACATACACCTTTGGCCTATATCCCAGTTCTTGTATGTATATATAAAATAAATCTTTTTTTTTTAAATCATAATGAGATACCACTGCACACCCACTAGAATGACTGTCTCCAAAAGATAGGAGTAAGTGTTGGCAAGGATGTGGGGAAAAGGAAACCTTTGTACACTATGGTGGGGGATGTAAAAGATGCAGTCACTATCGAAAATAGTGTCGAAGTTCTTAAAAAAAAATAGAGCTACCATGGGGTCTATATTCATTTCGCTCTTGGGGGTATAGCTGGAGAAAATGAAAACACTGTCTCAAAATGTCCATACACAGCAGTATTATTTACAATAGCCAGGACATGGGGACAAGCTAAATGTCCACTAAAGAATGTATGGGTAAAGCAGTCATGGTAGGTAGACAGATAGAGAGAGAGAGAGATGGATGCAAGAGAACATTATTCAGACTAAAAGAAGGGAATTCGCCCTCTGTGACACAGGTGACTCTGAAGGGCATTGTGCTAAGTGAATACGTCAGACAGAGAAAGGCAAATGTGACTTCAGGTATGTGTGGGGTCTAAAGCAGTTGAACTCATGTTACACTGAGATGGCGGTTACCAGGGACTGGGAGCTGGGGGAAATGGGAGATGTTGGTCTAAGAGGGTAGCGTCCATCTGGAAGGTGGTTATAATTAATAATGCGGTTTATATACTTGGAAGTTGCTAAGAGGGTAGACCTTAAGAGTTCTCACCACAAAAAAAAATTAATGAGTAAACTATTATATTATTTAAAAAAAAAAAAGAATTAGCAGCTAGATAGAAACTATGTGACATGATGCCCTGTTCAGCTGTGACAATGTACTAGTGTATCAAATCAAAAGAACTGTGTGTGCGCCTTAAACAGACATAATTTTATATGGCAAATGTATTTCAATAAGGCTGGAAAAATAAATACGAGTAGCAGCTCTTTAATCAAGCCTATTTAATTTATATTTTCTTTTTTAAAGTCTTATGCTTTTATATCTTAAGAATATAAAAAATTTTAAAGTCCAATAACCACTTTTCCAAAAAGCCGAAATAAATTGGTGTATCTGAGGACAGTAAGACACAGTGTAAGATCTTCTTATAATTTTCTTAAGCATACTTATTTCATGAGTCCTGCTAGACATTGCTAATTGCTATTAGCTCATTCTGTTGGTGTTTTGTTTCAGTCACAACATTTACACAGCAGAAAAGTAAGATGCACAAAATATTTCAAATAAACACTCACTTTTCATGCTTCATGTTTACTGTTTTCCAGCTTTACTGAGATTGAGTGACATCATTTTCTGATTTTATGAATATAATTATCACAGTAAATGACATTCACTGTAATGCAGCTTTGGTTACGTTGACTCCCTAACAGGTTGTCAAGGTAGGCAGTCTTGTCTGCAGTTTCCTAGAGCTAGAACACCCCAGCAGAGAGGATGACCTGGCTCTAGTAAAGGTGGGTGGTAAGGTGGACCCCACTTCTCTAGAGCCAGACCCTTGGGATATCGGGCTTTTAACGCCGGCACCATCATGGAGGTCCCCTGTTTTTGTTTTTGTCACAAGCTTTTTTTCTCTAGTCCTTATTCAAATTTCCTTTCCTTCGGGGCCATGAGTTGGTGTAGGGTTTAGGGCAGGAAGACCCCGTGTGGACCTCAGCTGTCCTCTGTGTGCAAGGCCTTCCCTCCGAGGCCTCCTGTGGGCTCCGTCACTCACCAGGGTGGGGAGCTCTTGTTCCAACAAAGCTCAAATGTCAATGGTACAGCTGTGGAAATCCCACATGAGTAGAGGGAAGGACCTGCTTTTTTAAAAAGAAAAAAAGAAAAAGATTGTATTTATTTTTGCATCCAAGAGCTGCTGTACAGGCCAGAGGTATGGGGGGTGGTGAGAGGATTCACCAGACACAGAGTGGGGAGCAGAACAGGAGGAGAGACTGAAATCCACTGCTGAGGGGAGCAGCGGGGAGACAGGAGAGGTCTGCTGCGCCCTGTGGGTCACTCCCTGGCCGGGGATCGAACTCCTGCTGCAGTGGCTGCGGACAGCTTCATAGTGCTGCGCTTTAACCCCTTGTGCCACACTAACCTGCTTTTTACCTTGCGGGTAGCTCCCCGGGAGTAACCTGGCAGGAGTGAACCTCAGCCTGAGCCTGCTGGGGAATGTTGTTACCCACAATGCGCACACGCATGGTGCAGGTTTTAAGGCACTCAGAGCTTGGTCACTCGTACCTTTGAAGCAGACAGGATCCATTTCTTGTCGTTGCTAATGGCAACATCCATCACCCAGTCCTCGTGGCCCTGAAGAACAGGAGATTTGAATAATAAGGACCTAGAGAAAAAAGCTTGTAAGAAAAACAAAAACAGTGGACCTCCATGATGGTGCAGGGGTTAAAGTCTCAGGGCTTTTTTTTTTTTTTTTAAGATTTATCTATTTATGCATACAGAACTGGGGTACAGGCCAGAGGTGCAGGGAAGGTGAGAGGATTCCCCAGAGACAGAGTGGGGAGCAGAACAGGCAGATTGATGAAGTACTGCTGAGGGGAGCAGCGGGCGGGTCAGGAGAGGTCTGCCATGCCATGTGGGTCACCTCGGGGCCAGGACTGAACTCATGCTGAAGTGACTTTAGCTTCTTAGTGCTGTGCTTTAACCCTTAACCTGCTGCGCCACCAGGGAGGGACCTCCGGGCTTTTTTTTTTAAACCAGCCACTTCAGCCTGAGTTAGATCCCGGGGCCAGGGAGGTGACCCACATGGCACAGCAGACCTCTTCTGTCCCACCTGCTGCTCCCCTCAGCAGTATATTTAAATAGACCTGCCTGTTCAGCTTCCCACTCTTCCCTAGTGAGTCCTCTTACCCCCACATCTCTGGTCTATGCCCCAGTTTTTGTATGCACAAATAACCTTTTTTAAAAAGCAATCAAATGAAGTGAGGAAGCCACCACATTGCTTACATCTAATTACATGTACAACCAACTGATGAGCAGCCCTGGTTTCACCAAAAAGATTACAAAGTGCCAGGCTTGTGAGGCTCGTGTGTGAAATGCACTGTGTGTCTTTACAGTTCTCTGGTGTTTAGGAGGGAAGAGTTCTGTTTGCCACTGGTCCTAGCGTGTCTCCAGCAGCTTTTAATGTGCATGCTTTGTTCTGAGAAATACTACTCAGATGTCCTACTGGGGAGGGGTGTTGGCTTCAAGTAAATGCAGATGTTTCCACCTTGGCTCAAATGAATGTGTCTGTTTGGGGGGTAAGGGGGAGGAAGTTTCTAGAAGCCTAGATCGGAGGCTCCCTGGCTGTCTGTGGATGGCCTTCTTCCTCTGCACAGTAATGTCTGTTATGCTAAGACATGTTCTCACCTCTGGGGGTTAGCCTATTCTGTTCCACCTGCCTGGAATGCCCTTCCCTGAGCTCCTCACTCACCTAGCCCTCCTTTGCCATCTGTTCTCAGCTCAGATGTCACCTTCCCAAGAGACCCTCCC